TTCCTCTGCTGGGGCTGTCAGAACAGCTCCAGCTGTGGGATGGGGGGAGCGGGAACCCCAACACATCCAGACAACCCTAGATCAGGGAAGAAGGTGGGGGTGGGGGAACATGGGCCCTGAAGCAGGACCGCCTCTGTCCGTCTGTGCTGCTCCGCCATGCAAGCTGGGCCATCGGGAAGGGAGCATCTACAGAGGGAGGTATGGGGTGGCCGCCTCAGTGGCCAGGAAGGCTCGTACATTTCCTCAAGCCCTGCCTTCCCCCACGGGAACACACACACACCAGGGAAAGCATTGGACCCACCAGGCCCGTGACCTTCCTGTCCCCTCTCCTTTTGTTTTTTTCCAGCGGCTCTCCGCACGCCGGGCTGCCAACATCCTTCATCTCTGCCTTTGGGACGCAAAGGTTCTCCACTCGGATGCCCTGAAACCGGACCGGATGGTGGATTGGCTGCTTCACCAGTCAGCGGCCACCTTGCTGACGGACCGGCTGGGAGATGGGAGCAGGGTTGAAGCGAAGCTGAAGCGATGCTTCTTGGCCAACCTGGACTACGACGAGCTCTTCCAGGCGGCCGCCCTGCTCCGTGCCTGGAGGAGCCCCATCCCCCCAAGGCCTTAGGAGTCCCGCCGGGGCCTCGGCTGCTTCTTTGCAGGGGGCATTTCCCCCTAAAAGCTCTTAATTGGCTTGACCTCCCTTTCTTTGCTCTGAATGACACACTTGGGGGGAGAAGCAGCTGCTCAGGCCGGGAGCCTCCTTGGTCCAGAGGTGGTTGGCGGGGGAGGCTCAGCTGCTTGTAGAGTGGGTCACGCCTTCAGACCTTGCAAAAACATGTGTTGATTTTATTGTGTTGTCCTTGCTTCTAAACCAAGGAGAGAACTCTGGCTGCCCTTCTCTCCATCTCTTGAGTTAGGTTGAAGAAGTATTTTGTTTTGTGGAAGTAGGAGGTAAGAAGAGTCAGGTGAAAGCAGGCGGCGGCAGCGTACGACAGGCTGATCGGCTTTGCCTTCTCCCCTCTCCCCCTTTCTAGAAGTTGAGACTTAGAGGGTCCCTGCTGGGTAAGGACAAATTGATGTGATCATTGAAAGCCTATTTTCCCTGCCTTCTCCGTTATTTATTACTTCTCCTTCCCATCGCACAAGCGTCTAAACTTTTTCTCTTTTCTGTATCAGCCTGAATGGGTGCCTTCAGGGCAGCGTTTTTCCTGCTTTGTTGCTCCGAAAAATCCGGTGTCCCCCTTTCCAACTCTTCCTCTAGAAACTCCAAAGGAGTTCCCTTGGCCTCGGATCATCCCTCGTGAGGCAGTCCCTGGCATGCCAGCTAGTCAGAGCTCTGAGCAGGGAGATCTGGTTGTGAAACCCTCTCTCTCTCCCCCCTTCCCCCAGTGTCTGTGTACATCCCCTGGCTAAGGGGAGGGGGTCTCCCACCCCACCCCCACCCCCACTCCACAGTTCATGATGGTATTGAGGATAAGTAGAGGCAAGGAGTATGCGTGGGAAGGGAAGAAGTCTCTGACCCAGAATCTTCTGCTTGGCAGTAGCAGAACGGCAGCCTGAAAGCCTTTCCTCTCTGGAAAGGGCAAAGATGTAGTGTCGGTGTTTGCATGAGACTTCCATTGGGGGGTGGGAATGATTTTTTACCCACAGCAGGTTAATAACATGCTAGACTTTGTAGCCATGAATAGTAAGCTGTTTATGGCAGGTTGTGGGAAAGTTGATTACTTGGTGCAATGTGTTCTCTAACACACCAGAGAATATTTGCTTAGTCTTGGCCTTATTCTGGATCAGAACTTGGACTCCAGTGCTGTGTCGCCAGAGTTGGGTCCCACAGGACACCAAGCGCAGGGACTGATGTCTTCAGAACACCACATTTTCTGTTCCATGGATGTTTCATGCAGAGCAGGGAATTCAAGGCTCCAGCCAATCGCAGCTTTTTGTTTTGAAAGTGGAAGCAAGTTTCTATTCCTGAAAGCTAAAAAAAAATGACTAAACTACAGCGCACGGAGGATGTCTGCCAAAGTCTCGGAAGCAAGAATGGAGACTGTCGGATTTCCAGTGGTTGAGAGAGGGCCTGATCCACGCTATTTTGCCACTTGAGGCAGAGCAGAAGATCCAGGCTCAAGGCAAGGGGCATCGGATCCTAATGCAACCCAATTACTTGGGTGCAATGGGCAAGAAAACCCCAGACAACTTTCCTGTTTCTAAAATGGCAATCGCCCCCAGTGAGTTCCCTTCCCATGCCATCTGAAATCTGCCAGGAGGGGAACCCTTTTGTTCTGCCCGCTGCCAGGTGGACCTTGGCCGATTGGGGTCTCCTTTCACAGCATCACCCCAGCCTGTGAACCATCTTGCTTGGACATCAAGCACATGGATTGCACCCTTCGTATGCCGTGGAGACGATTAGGCAGCCTGGTGAAAACGGGAACGGCACATGGGAGGAGGGATTTTTCCCAGGAAAACACGTGTGATGCCTTCCTTCGGTTGCAAAAGGCATTGGGGGGGGGAATGTTGAGAAAGGACCACCTGACAGGAGGTCTTTGAGAAGAAGCAGGTGGCTCTGTGGACGTGGAGCCCACCCCATGTGTCCAATGGCTCTCAGGGCGGCGAGCGTCCCCCACCACATCTGAACAGGCTTTTAGAAGCCGGCGACAGTAGCTTAGCCCAGGGGACGCGCCTCCCGGGGGCCATGCTGCAGGAGAGGGCAGGCGAGCATAATAATATAATAATAATAATAATAATAATAGCATAATATAAGTAAGATGCCCAGCATGATGCAGTGAATAAAAGGATGGACTAGGAGTCTGAAGGCCTGGGTTCAAATCCCCTCTTGGCCGCAAAAACTGACGGTGGATGACTGCTGGATGAAGTCCCTCGTCCCCTTGATGGCTGAAGTGAGGACGCAGATGGGAGACAAGCCCGCTTATATCAATTTCGATACCGATGGAATAGACTCGGCCTTCGCCCCCCCCGGCACTGGGACTCCTGAAATTGCTGGACTCGCTCCTGCCCAGGTAAGAATCGTGAAGAAAGACTGGGGTCCAAATGGCAGCTGATTCACAACATCTTTGCCGATGTCCACAGGGGGGAGGCGGGGGGGGGCGTGGATGTGGTGAACCTTAAGAGAGACCGCCTGGCCATTTTTAGTTGTGGAATTTAGAAACACACAAACACACCCCAAGGCTGCCTGATCAAAGCCCCGGCTGCTTGCGAGGGAGTGGTGGGAAAAGGTTTTGTAGTTCATAAAATCACCAAACCAGCAGGAGAGTCAAATTGTTTTCTTGAGAGGCTGATAGCACTGGACTGAAAACAAAAGAATGAAATGTCACAGAGATAAGTGTAAAGTTCTAAACCTGGGGGGGGGGGAAATACCCCAAATGCACACTTACGAGACAGGGGGATACTTTTCTCAGTGAGAAGGATCTTGGAATTGTCATAGATCACAAACTGAATATGAACCAAAAGTGTGATGTGGCTGCAACAAAGGCCGATGCTATTTCATGCTGCATTAACAGAAGTATAGTCTCCAAATCCTGTGAGGTACTAGTTCCCTTCCGTTTGGCCCTGGTACTCATCTGAAGTACTGTGTCCAGTTCTGGACACTACTCTTCAAGGAGGCGGCCAACAAACTGGAGCAAATTCAGAGAAGGGCAACAAGGATAATGAAGGGATGGGAAAACAAGCCCTAGGAGGAAAGACTGAAGGAACTGGCCATGTTTAGCCTTGAGGAAAGAAGACTGAGGGGTGATAAGGCAACCCTTTTCAAATACTTGAAAGGAAGTCTTACAGAGGAGGGGCAGGATCTGTTCTCAATTATCCCTCAGGGCAGGGCACGTAATAATGGGCTTAAGTTACAGGAAGCCAGATTTCAGCTGAATATCAGGAAAAGCCTCCTAACTTTTAAAGCAATACAACAGTGGAACCTGTGACTTTGAGAGGTGGTGAGCACTCCAACGCTGGAGGCATTGGAGAGAGATTTAGATAACCCTCTGTCAGATCTGCTTGGATTTGGATTCCTGCCTTGAGCAAGTGGTTGGACTTGATGGCCTCAGAGGCCCCTTTCAACATGATTCTAGGATTCTCCTCACACAACAGAACTTGAAATCCCCAGAAAAGGGGATTTGGAATAGCCTTTTAAAAACAAGAGGGATGTTTCACAAAGCATACCCTGCCGTCAGCTGTGCCAAGGCCCTTGAGCTTAGAGGGCTTTTAAAACAGGACGCGGTGGTAGTGCAATCTGCAAAGCAGGAGGTCCATGGGGAGGTCTGGGCTATTAGCAGGTTGGAGTAGAACCTCCATGTTTAGGGACAGTGCGCCTCTGAGAAGCAGTGGCCAGGGCACTCCGGGGAGCGTTGTTCCCTCCGTGCCTTGCCTGCCGACTTCCCCGATTCCTCTGGCTCGGCTGTTGGGCCAAACGGAGCGGAGCTTAGACAAACTGGGATTCTTGGCAGCCCATTCTAGCTCCTGGAGTTTGGACCCGTTTCCTCCCCCATCCAGGACGCCGGCCAGAATCCTGCGTTTGACGAGGGTAAACGTGTAGGTCCCAGCCGTGATTTTCCTCCTGGTGTGGCAGTCGCGCGATTTGCTGCAGGATGAGGGACATCCGCGGCAACTCCTTAAAGTGGTGCGTCTCCCCTCACCCCCCCGTGAGTCGTTCCAGAGACAACTCTGGCAACCGACACAAACTGGGAATCTTCCTGCAGAACAAGATTTACACCTACTCATTTATGTCAGGAACAGGAAAATGTACAAATTAAATTTACTGCAGAACTTGCTTTTCCTCTGAGGAGCACAAACTTTCCCGGGGAAAGGACGCCAAGGCCCCCATCTACCCCCTCCATGGCCCTGTGAGGTGCAGGGGCTTAGTGTAACTCTGTAAGTGAAAATTGACAGCTTGGAACTTGATGAAAAATAAAGGCTACCAAAGAACGATTCCCCACCAAGCTCTGTGCTGCTGTTGTTTTTTAGAAGTTCGCTTCAAAGCACCCAGGGACTTTCTGATCGCACATTAAAATAGTTTATTTTCAGTCGCAAGTCTGTTACGTCGTAAAGCAAAACCAAACCAAAACAGAGCCCGTGTCGGTCCACACATAAAAAATAAACAAAGGACAGTTTGCCCAATAAATTATTTATTCCCTACCCTGACAAGAGTATCAAAAGTGCAAAATAACCGGCTTCCTTTCAGACCCGTCCTCCTGGCTCGAGCGGGTGAGTTGCCACCCGCGTGGAAGTCGAGAGAAACCAACGGAGCGGACTCGGCCCTCCCCTTGAATGCCCCTTTGCCAGAGGCGCCTTCGGGTGCAACCTAGAAAAAGCTCTCCGCCTCCCTCCCTCTGACAGGAGGCCGCTGAGCTGCCCCGTAACACAGGGGTTCCCCCCCAACCTGGGGTCACACACCCCCGTCCGGTGCGCCTGGACTGCCACTCCCAGAAACCCTGGGTTAGCCCGTGAAGGGCAGCATGATCTGAACTGCACACAGAAGGAGGAGCGCCCGTGAAAACAAATCCCCATCTTACTAAAAAAAAAAAAAAAAAGCACAAATGAACCCTAATATGCACACAAAGGGTCCCCCCCCCCCCCAGCAGCGAGGTGTTCATCAGAGCTGGAGGGTAGGCGAGAAGCAGGTGGGGAGGAAGCCAGAGAGGGAGGCGGGGAGGCGGCCCAAGACGGTCAGTGTTCGGCAGGGCAGCCCCTGAATGCTGAGGACCATCGGGTGCCCCAGGGAGGGAGGCCCTCCTTCTGGAGCATCCATGCCAGGCGGCTCGTAGGTCAAGGACTTGGGCAGGAGGCGTCTAAATCACGGGGCCTCTAGGAGGATTCCTCTAAAAAGCTACATACGGTCGATCGGACCCAAGGCAGCATTCTCCCAATGAGAGTCGTCCCCTTTTAATGTCTGCGCTGACAGATTTTCCTTCTTTTAAGGGGAAAAAAAAGGCACCTCAGTCTAGCGCTGGCCAGGAGGGGATATAAAACCTCTGCAAGGAGCCTTCTAAGAGCCGCTCCATCCACAAGGACAGTTTGCCAAGTTTGTTTTTCAGCCACCTGGTCTTCGGACTGCATGAGGAAGAGGAGGGCTTCCCGCGGGCTTCCCCCAGGTCAGGATCCTCGGAGCGCCCTCCTGGGAGGGTGGCCCCTTCTTCCTCCGATCGGCGAGGCTTGAAAAGGCAGAAGTATTTTTTATGGCCATTCAAGGCCAGGACGTAGCCGGTGTAATCGCGCTCCAGAAAGTGCTTGTCGTATTGGTTCGGGATGGGAGCTGCGTCCTGGGCAAACTCCAAGACGTCCTCAAGCCATTCCCGATGCTTGTCCAGGTTCAGGAAGGAGAAGTGGAGGCAGCTGCTCCTGGGGGAGGAAAAGAGGGGTTGGTTATTAAAATATAAGCAATCAACAATGTTATTTTGTTGAGTTTATCTGAAGATTCCAGGCCTGGTTAGAAAATAAATAAACTGTCCCTTGCTTTAGCACTATGGGGCAGTGCAGAAGTCAAACAAACAAACAAAAGAAGGGAGGGAGGAAAAGAGGGGGGGAAGTAAGAAAGGCAGGAAAAGAGAGAGGGAGGGAAAGAAACAGACAACACCACCCAACTATTAAAGCCCTCTTCCTTATCATCCAGTCAGGCATCAAAAGCCAACCTAAACAGAAAGGAAGTCTGATAGGGTGCAGGGGAGGCATCTAGGGAGTCCCACAACCTGGGGGGGGGGTCAGCCATCCAGAGGGTTCTCTCCTGCATCTTCCCCAAATGGGCCTGTTAGGGTAGCCAGACTGAGAGAAGACCCAGCCCAAAGCCTGTAAGGTTTTAAAATCGGGGCAGGTTCCTCTTGGGGCACGGCCATCCTTCAGATAAATTCTGGGTACATTTCGGAAGGGAGTACATCTTCGGAAATGAAAGCGGCCCCTTTCCAACAAGAGAGAAGGCAAGACCACCATCTCCCCTCGGCTTCCAGAAAGGTCCTGACTTGATCAGAAGAGAACCAGCCCAGCCCACTGCACCCTGGCCTCTCCCCGGTGGGCCAGCTCCCTCCCCGGTCCCATAAGCCCTTGTGACAACAAGTGCCTTCCCAGTCCTCTGGCAAACCGGGCCCGGATCAGGCCACTGTGGCCACGCAGAGGGGAGCCACAAAGCTCCCTTTGCACCATCAGCCTTTCCCTCCCGCCTTTCGGGTATCCTGTCAGGACTCCCACTGCCATCCTCTCCCCTGGACGTGTCCCCCTTTCAGGTTTTGGAAGCAGGGCGATCTTCTTCTGCCCCCGCCCCCACCCGCCCCCTCCAGAGTGCATGGCTGCTGTCAAAAAAGGGACCCCCCCATACACACCCGGTGAAACTGTAGACCTCCAGAGCAAACTTCTGCAGGAGAGGCGTTTTGGTGGAGCCGGAGAGGATCAGCACCACGTTCATGTGGCCGGGCCTCAGCCGCACCAGGTTGCTTGTGTAAGTAATGTCCGTCAATTCCGTCACCTCTACGAAGCCCTTCTTGGGGACCCTGTGCAGAATGCGGGGGGCAAAAGGCAATGTCGGCCACAGAAAGGCAGAAAGGGGTTCACCCTGCCGGGCGCCCCTCAAGCGACAGGTTCCCCTCTTTCCTTTCTAGCATTTAAGATGCCAGTTTGGCAACTGGGCTGGCCACTGAGTTCACCAGGCAAGAAGTCACCAGGGGAAGGAAAATCCTGGTTCCAGCCAGGCAAAGCGAGCCCTCCTGCCAAGAGAACAGCCGGGCTCCTGCCTCCCCAGAGGCCACTCGGGGGGGGGGGGCTTTATGCTCGGCCATCAAGCTCGGCAGGATCAATTTGCTGGATCGCAAGCTCCTCTGGGGAAGGGATCGCAGCCCTTGCCAGCACCGGGTTCAAGCTCCTTCCTGCCCAGTGGCCCCGTGGCCTCCCCCTAAGCCACCCTCTCCCCGTCTCTAGCCCAGGGGAGGCAACCCCCACCGAGAGAGCCAAGGGGCCACCTGTTTTCTTTGGTGAAGCTCGAGTCGTTCTTCTCGCTCTTCAGCGGGCCGTCTTCCTTCTGGGGGGGAGGCACATCCCTCTCGTCACTCGAGTCGCTGAAAGATAGCCCAGAGAGCCTCAGGAAAGGAAAGGGGGAAGCCGCCCCCCGGCTACCACACCAACGGCTGAGAGCCCCCCTTCTCTCTCTCTCTCTTGCTCTCTCTCTCTCTCCCCCCCCAGAAGGTGGGCGTAGGGGGGCAGCTCCAGTCCCGCCCGGGGGGATGAAACAGAGGGCCGTGCTCAACAAGCGAGAACCAATTCAGGACTGGGGGGCCCTGGCAGCGTGTGGCCAGAGATGGGGTACGCTGCTCCCCCCTTTGGGGCTGCTGCCCATCGAGGCTTGGCAAGAGAGTGCATCGTCGGAGCCTGGAGGTGCTTCCGGCGCTTCACTCCTCCCTCCCGCCACCTCGTCTTATTGTTTCCATGTTGTCTTTTCCTTGGCTTTCCTTTTTCTCAATTTCAGTTGATTGATACGTTGATAATTTGATTTTTTTGGTACTCTTATTATGTTGCGGCTTTATTTAGAGTGTCTTTGTTGTTTTGCCAGGTTGTGAACCGCCTAGAGTGGCCTTGCAGCCACACGGGTGGCACAGAAATTGAATAATAAAGGAAAGAAAGAAGTACACCTGAAGAGGGAACCAACCATCTTTTCCTCCCGGGAGCCTCCTCCTCTCCCCTCCTTTGTCGCCAGGGCAGGATTTCTGCAGGTCAAACCCCCCCAGCCCTTCACTGCCGTCCCCCCCGCCTGCTGAGTGGGCCAAACGAGGGGACCTCCCCCCTCCCAAGGTCAAAGGCATCTCCATATGGGGAATGTTTTGCCGGCAGGTGAGCCTCAGCAAAAGGCGGTCTAAGTCTTCAGGATTGGGCCCTCTCAAAGCACACAGAAGCCACTTTGGGCAACCTAAAGAAAGGGGATCCCAAAGGGACAGACCAGGACCTTGGGGGAGCTGGATGGAGCCCCCAGCCTGGAGGTGCATCATATCTGCCACAGAGGATGGAGAGAAGCAGGTGGAGGTGGTGAGGCTGGAAACAGCGAAGAGGTGGCAGAGAAAGCAAGAAGAGATTGGCAGCGGGGTGGGGAGCTTACCTGAAAGCCTGAACAATCACTGTCCCAAATAGGATGAAGAGAGCCGAGAAGATCAGCGATAAGAGAGGCATCATTTCTCGCCTGCAAGGAAGACCCATCAGTGAAGGCTCTGCTTCCCCGTGACCTCCAAAGAGCAAAGGGAAGGAGGCCAATTTTGGGACAGGCAACCCTTGGCCGCCTCCACCACCGGCCCTTCGGGTTTCCCCCAGCACCACCAGCACCACCACCGACCCTCGGGTGAGGCTGTCCTTAGTCGACTGGGGAGGCTACAATGCGGGCGGAATCCCTACCAGTTGCTGTGGAAGAGGCTGTCCCAGCAGTCCGAGATGTAACCAGCAGCGGAGGAGAGCCATCGGATGAAGAAAACCTGCAGCAAAAGATGGGAAAAGAAAGATGAGGCAATGGCCATAAAGGAGCCTCCGCAAACAGGCTTTCCTTGCTGGAGCACAGTGAGCAGGAAAACAGTCCCTCCCCGCCCGCCGCCCACCCCCCTCTCCCACATACAAGATTCTTTTAGGGAAAGGGTGAGCAAGCTGTTGTCTCTTGCTCCTGGCGGGATACAGGAGCGGCACTTCTCCTATCAAATAGGGTGCCGAGTCATTGAATCGTAGCATCACGGAGTGGGAGAGGGAACCATAAAGCCATTGAGTCCAACCCCCGCTCAAGGCAGGAAGCCAGATGAAAGCAGATCTGATCGATATGGTGGCCCAGTTTTCTCTTGAAGGCCTCCAGAGTTGGAACACTCACCACCTTTTGAGGTCTTAGTTTCCATCCTCGTATTGCTCTTAACAGTTACTGTATTTTTCCGTGTATAAGATGCCCCCTTGTATAAGATGCCCTCCCCCACTTTTCTAACCCAAAGTTTCTTTATTTGCAAGAATGTGGAGGGGGAAAGCAATTCCTGCTTTCCCCTTCCACTTGGTTTGCAAAAAGCAGTTTTTCTCCTCCATGCTTTGCAAAGAAAATGGAAGAGGAAAGCGATTCCTGCTTTCCCCCTCCATTTTCTTTGCAAAATGTGGAGGGGGAAAGCTGCTTTTTGCAAAGAAAGTGGAGGGGGAAAGCAGGAATCACTTTCCTCCTCCATTTTCTTTGCAAAACCTGGAGGGGAAAAGCAGGAATCAAAGGGCTTTGATTGTTTCCCCCCCCCCCTTCAGTGTATCAAACAACCTTCAATTTTTCCTTTAATTATTTTAGGAAAAAGTGTTGTTTTATACATAGCAAAATACAGTAAGCAGTTTTCCCTGATAGTCAGCCGAAATCTGGCTTCCTGTTGCTTGAGCCCATTCTTATAGGTCTTGCATTCTGGGATCATTGAGAACAGGCACTGCCCTTTCCTCAGACTGAGAGCCTTTCAAGTCTTTGAAAAGTACTATCATATTATCTCCCCTCAAGTCTTCTTTTTTCAAGGCTAAACATGCCCAGTTCCTTCCATCTTTCCTCTTAGGGCTTGATTTCTAGCCTCCCTGAACATCCTTATTCCCCTCCTCTGGACTCCTTCCAGTTTGCTGGCATCCTTCTTAAAGTGAGGTGGACACAGTTAGTCACATAACTGCCATCATCTTATACATTTTTAAAATAAGCAAATTTTTAGAGCGGACTCTTGTTTGGCTCTCCCATGATAAGACAGAGAAACAACCATAGAAGAAAATATAGGTTTCTTCTCCAGCTTGTTGGGTGGAGAAACAAACCAGGGGAGCTGGTTTCTGTGGGGTCTGGCCGAAGTGCTAAGTAAGTCACAGGCCCATGCAGGGAGTGGCCAGCAGCAGGAAAAGCTCAGGTTTTCAGAGAACCCTGGCTTATGGTGATGTCTGGAGGCACTCATGGGCACCGGCTTCCATGCCATCATCCACGTAAGCAGCTGGTCTAGAGGGTGCCTAACAGATTGCTTTCCAAAAGAACGGATCCTTTCAGTTCCAATTAAATTCCTCTCTCTCTCTCTCTCTCTCTCTCTCCCTAAATGGCAGGTGCCTTTGTCCGATCTGCCGCTGGAGAACCGAGGCCTCTTTTGAAAGGGGAATGCCTGCTTCGTGTGGAGGCCCATCTCCTCCTCCCTCCAGCTTCCCCAATGCCCTTAACGCTCACGGGAGCAAGTTCATCATTGAGGTCTGGCAGGATGGTGTCCGAAGAGAGGACACCCGGGTCGGTCCTCAGCTGATCCAGAAGATCCAGGAGGACGAAACTGTCTTCTTGGCTGCCGCTCCAGGGGTCTTCCAGGGCTTGGTAGGCCACCTGGCCAGTGTCGTCCCGCCTCTCCAAGACCACCACCTGGATGGGAGGGAAGGAAGGAAGGAAGAAAGGGGACCACATCACCAGAGGCAGCGGGAGGGGAGGGAGCCGAACATCATCAGTGTCATCATTAGCAGCAGCAAAATGAACCCCTCTGGGGCCCAGAGGGGGGAGGCTGCCAAAGAGCCCGAAGTCTTCTCCCAATGGGGAGGGGAGGATGATTCCTTGGCTATTCTCTGACCATTTGGAGGGTCCCGCACTTTGGAACTGGCCTCCCAAAAGCCCCTCTTGGGAAAGAGGCGAATGGGAGGCACCACCGAACAGCAGAAGCCGTCAGAGCAGGTTGCTGCCCCTCCCTCCAGGCCTCCTTTGCCTGCCCTTACTCTCTCTTAAATAGACCAAAACTGGGGCCCCTCCCTCTCCCCCTCTTCTGGGCTCACTGAGAGCTGCAAGGCTTCCCAGGAGGGGTCAGCTCGCTGTCTATGAAGCCCCGGGGAGGCCTGCTTCTCCTTCTCCCCACAACGTGGTCCCCCCCAAAAGGCCAGGTGCTTCCTCAGACAGGCCTCTGCCCTCCACGGTGCTGGAAAGTCACCGGGTAGCCCTGGCCAAGGAGAGGACGTCCCCCTGCCTCCAGCAGGACCAAGACCAAGGCAGACGGGGGCTCAGGACTCAGCCCTTGGGAGTGGGGGATGATGATGCCTTGGAGGAAAGGGCACAGCCCTTCACTGACACAACACCGGCTGGCCTCCCCTGACAGAGAGGCAGAGTTGGGACTGCCGAGCCCCCTCTCCTCGCTCCTCTTCCCCAATGGAAACACCAATCAGGAGGAATTATGGGAAAGTCTCGCGAAGTGGAGATGCTCTCTAATCCCTTCTTCGGACAGAAGGCAGCTGGCACATGGGGAGGGGCACAAAGAGGAGGATGGAGGGTCAGGGAGAGGAGCCAAGGCATCTCCTGACTCTCCATGGGTTGGAATTCGCCTCCCTTGCCATAGGGGTTTACCCATGTCCACACAGAGCAGCACCAAAAAAAGCAAAATAAATGAAGACCCATTCAGTAAAGAACAAAAACAAAGTAAATTATTCCGGTCTGAGATCGGCTCCTTTCTCCCACCCTCTTTGCACTGGAAGAAAGGGGATTCTGACTAAAGGTTAAGAATAACGTCCTTGATGGCCAGAGTAATTCAAGAGTAGAACGGATTCCCTCAGAAAGAGGTGGGCTCATCTTCACAGAATCATGGAGTTGGAAGGGGGCCTCTAAGACCATCCAGCTCACACACACACACACCCCGCTCAAGGCAGGCATCCCAATCAAAGCAGATCGGACAGAGGGTGGTCCCGTTTTCTCCTCAGTGCCTCCCCCTGAGGTCATGGCTTCCCTTGTCATACTGCTCTAGCCGTTAAGAAGTTTTTCCTGAGATCCAGCCTAAATCTGGTTTCCTGTAGCTTGAGCGGTATTTGCAAGCAGCTTTATGAGCAGCTTTTTTTTTTTTAATGAGGCTGGACGGCCATGTGTCAAAGCTTCCCGGTTTTCCAGTTCTCTAATGCCTCCCACCCGAACTGCAGAAGGGAGACAGCCCAGCTTCCAGCGACCGATCTCCAGGCCATATGACCTTGGAGGGTTACGTCTAACCCCAATTCCCAGTTTTCCCATTTTGATTTGAGCCTCTTCTCCCTCCGCCGTCACTTTCCCTTGATACTCCTGCCGCCTACCCAGAAAAGCGGGACCTAGATGATTTCAAAGTGAGACGGAACTAGGCGGCGAGACTCATCTGGGCTGGAGGACGGGAAGAACACTCACCGCTGATTTCCCCCAAAACTTTTCATCGTCCGTTAAAAGAGTGTGGACAAACACTCGCTGATAGTTGCTGTAGACGTGGACGAATCTCAGGGTGTCTTTCGTGTTGGCCGTGGCAAAGGCCAGGAAGGCTTCGTAGCTCGGTTTGTACTTCTCTCCCTCCCCGGTAATCAGGACCACACAGTACCTGGAACAGGAGGAGGAAGAAATCAGTGCCGTAGCAGGAAACACAGAAGACTGGCTTCTGCCATTGGAGGACACTGGAGGCAACCAACCCAGCAAAAGCAAATACTTGCAGGATTATCAAGTGGGACGGACTGGCCGACAGGAGTTTTGAAGCAAACAATGAGTGAAATCCCCTCTCTGTAGGTGACTCGAAGCAGGGGTCTGGCACACTCCGTTCCACCACCTTCCCCTTAATGCCCCCCGTAAAGCGGGAGTGAGAATCACGAAACCCACCAGCCCTGTGCAGCAGCCCCACCCCCCTGGCCGAGGCCCTTTTGCTGGCCCGTCTCCTGATTAAAGACTCTCCCCTCCCCACCATCAGAGGAAACAGGCCTCAAGAGGGCGTGAAACCTGTCTTTGCGAAGGTGTGGGCACCCCGTGTGATGTCTTGCCAAGTGCCACTCTTGGCAACCCTAGAAGTGGGTGGGTAGAAATAAAAGAGGGCTGGAGCTGGCCTGCCGGGGTCCTTGAACCGCCCCGGGTGGATGCCTCCCGCCTTGGTCACAGGAGAAACCGGCTGGTGCCATCAAAGGGGCCCTGACAAGCATCTGTGGAGTGTTACCCCCCCACCAGCCCCCCCCCCATACTTGCGCTGCCTGTGGGACTTCTTTGTGGGGCACAGCTCCTGAAAAAGCTTCTGGCTGGTGAGCCGGGTGGCCAGGAGGAACTTGTTCTGGGAGAGGAAGTCATCCATCAGCTGCTTTTTCATGCCTCGGGCCTGGAGAAAAGGGGGCCACGGGGAGGGAAGGATTAGCCAACCTCCTGCTAGGGCAGAGACCTCTCTGAAATTGGCAAGACCCTGCTAGCGCCTCCCAGTGACTGCCATAGGCCTCCTCTCGTGCCTTCCCACAACTCCAGATCGATCCATCCATACTCAGACATAGACTCTACCTGGTGGTTAGAGGTGGTCAAAGCAGCCCCTGAAGTCATCCCCCACTGAATGGCAGCCCTAAGGGTCAGTGACCTCTGCAGCATCCTGACACCAACAACCCCACTTGGGTCGGGCACATTCAAGGTGGTTGCTTCATTTAGGGAGTCAATATATCGCATGGACATGTGCCTAAGAAGAGAGAGGCTACCCATGCGCACCCACAGACATCCCATGACCTAAGAAGACCACCCTTCATTTGGAGAGCAAAAACCTCCATGTCACAGGCTCATCATCCTCAGCTACCTGCAGAACGCAGAAGGTCCCAAGAAGGGAGCAGCTGGCAATGGAAACCTCTTGTAGTGGCCAACGATTGGGCACCGTCCTCAGCAGGGCACTCCCAGCAATGGCCCTGCCGGCCTCGAGGGTCTGCAGAGGGCCGCTCTGCACCACCTCGCTCCGAGAGGGTCTGCACGGCACTTTGGTCTCTCTTGCAGGGTCACCACAGAAGAGCCTCCCGGGTCTCTTCACGCATTGCTCAGAACGCCTGCATTCCCTCGGCCACTCTACACATCCCCTATTTACAGGATGGCCGACAGGGCCGGCCTGGCATCCTGGATAGACAGTCCGAGAGGCTAAGAATCCTGCTACCGGGATTCAAATCCCATTTCTGGCCACGGAAACTCACTGCGGCAGGGAAGGCAACAGGAACTGACTCCGTAAACATTTCACATACCCTGAGAACTCCACAAGGGGCACATGGATTGATGTGTCTTTATGACACAAGACAAGTGGACCAGCTTATACCTTTCTGCAGGCGTCCACGGCCAGTTAACTAAAACTCTGAACAAGGAACGCTGATGTTCCTCCTACCTTGAGGGAATGGGTGGCCGCAACCTTCTATTTGATTCGATTTGATTTTTTTTTTTTTTGGCAGCCCTTTATAACAAGAAGTTAGATACCAGCCACTTGAAGGCCAGAATTTGCTAACCTGGTGCGATACTAGCTATCATAATTTGAATGATTCAGATAGTCCATGCTCAGTCCATTTTATTTGACTTCTAGTGACCCTAACAGGGCTTCTGATATGGAAGGAGCGGCTTGACCAGGTCCCCATCCCCAGTGAGCTTCCGTGGCTGAGCAGCGAGTCAGACCCTGTTCTCCTCCTAGTCCGCCCCTCGACCCACGACACTACACGGGTTAATTGGAAGTCCAGGAAGGCAAACCCCATGGCATTCCTATCCGTTATAGGCGTGTCACTTCTGGGGGGGGGAGGTGTGCAGCCTGGAGGCCACGGCTGACTCCCACCTTTTTTTTTCTGGTGGCCTCCAAACCACAGCCTGAACCCCACTCCCCAACACAGCACAAGGCCGACCCAGCTAGATGTGGGTTTTGGACCCAATTGTCCTCTGGGGGAGGGGCAGGCGCGGTGAGTACCAGGGGGGCCTCTCCTCGGGCTCCTGGAGATTTTCTTGGCCCTCCTGTCGAAAGCAGGGCAGCCACTGGGCAGTACCTGGACGACATCCGCCGGTTTCTCAATGTTCTCTTTGAAGACCATCATTGTGGGGGTGTAGACGTTAATGTTGTACTGGCTGGAGAGCTCCTCAGTCCCGCGGAGGCCCACATAGATGTACCCAAAGGAGAGGTAATCCCGATAGGCAAACGCAGTCAGCTGGGAAGGAACAGGAGGGCGGGCAGGGTCAGGCCACGTTGGGAGGCTGGGGTCCCTAAACAGTCCCCACTCCCAGCCTTTCCGGCAAGACCAAACACGTCGGAGGGTTGGAAGCCGCAGGGGGCTGAAGGAAGGAACTCTTCCCTCAGAGGCGAAATTCAGGAGATCTCGGGATCCTTCCCCCGCCCCACTCTTTGCTGACCCCCAGAATGCAGACAACACCACCTCAGCCCTGAGGAACACCTTGCCAGACATGCCAATACATCAAAGTGGGCGTTTGCTACGGTTGCAAGAGTAGGAATGCAACGGAGGCCACTTCGGGGCAAATCTTTGGCCTACAGTGTCCATCATCCACACCCCGCACGGCCACAGCCAAGGGTTAGAGGCCACTCAAAAACAAACAAACAAAAAGCAAAAAACAAAACAAAAAAACCCACCAAGACACACATACGGGGGGGGAGCTCCTTTTGAGGCCTCCAGGCAGCAGTAGAACCGTCTAAAAAGCCCATTCACCCGCCTCTGCCGGGGTGCGTTTGCAGCCTCCCAGTGATCCACCAGGGGGTCCAACGCATATCTCCCAAATTCAGAGTCTGGAACTAGCAGATGGAACTTAATGGGCTGACGTTAAAATCTTTTGACTTTAGAGCAGAAGGGGGGGGCAAGCCAATCTGATGCACACAAAGAATAATATGTTTTGGCATTTTAATGTTCCTTCAGAAGCCCTGATTTCTCAAAAGGAGGCGGGACTCCTCCTGATGAACACAAAGGGAACAGTTGCTCCCACCAACCACTGTTTTTCAGCTCAACTCTGTCACTTTCCCAAACCACCGGAAGATCCTCCCTCCCACCCATCCACACCCAGGGGATTCAGCTAAAAACACACGGGCTGTTAAGCCTGCCGGCTAGCTCAGCAAGTCTCAAGCAGTGCAGCCCCATGGATTCAGTGGGTCTACTCTAGCTGTAAGTTACTACACAAAGCAACAGGATTTCAGCCACTGAGTCCTTAGAAATGGCCTCTGCTTCCAACGGTTGGTCTCAGAGAACTGGCTGCAGGATCCTGACCATTTCCCCGAGAGGAGCGTGGCTTCATTAAAGGCCTGGGGAACCGAACTCCGGCATGGACGGGCTCTGTACCTTGTAGAGGAGCGGCACGAGGGGCATGTGGTCAAACAGAAGGACGTGGGGCTTGTTCTCCTTCTTCCAGTTGGACAGAAACTGAACGTAGTTTTTATCTGTGATCTTCAACATAAAACAGGAAAGGAATCAGTCTCGGCGCTCAGAAGGACCAAGCGTCCCCCAGCCGAGTGGCAAAGAAGCTCAGGCAGGATCAGGAGCTCCTGATTACCTTCTCAACGAGATTCCCCGGAAGGAGGCCCTCCACAAACTGGCGCAGATTCTCCCGAACCACCGCGTTGTGGAAAAAGGTGATCTTCCCGTTGATAAGTCCCAGGATTGACGGGGTGCTGTGGGCTCCCAAGTGGTGGGCTAAGCGTCTTTCGTAACTGGCATGAACGACGCCAATCCCCACGCCTGAATGATAATAATAATAAGTATTATTATAACAAGTATTATTATAATACCACCATATTTTTCCGTGTATAAGACTATACTTTTGTCTAAAATCTTTAGACTGAAAATTGAGGGTCGTCTTATACACGGAAGTAAGCTGAGGAGAGAACAAAAACAAGTGGAAGGGAAAGCAGGGATCAATGCGATCCTGCAGCGCTTTGACCCCGTTCCCCCCACACTTGCTAAGCCCCACTTAGATTTCTTAATTTTGGATTAGAAAAGTGGGGGGCGCCTTATACATGGAGGTGTCTTATACATGGAAAAATACAGTAAAAAATAAAATAAAATAGTAATAGGCTGTGACTTATGAAGACCCTAAAGCACTTAAGCAATTCCCACTTAGCACTTTGCTGACGCGAGGCAGTCCCACAAAGAGGAGGGTGCGCTGAAGCCCCATGGCGGGTCTGTTGAGAGGGCCTGGAGAGAGGCTGTCCCGGGAAGGTCGGGACATGCTCTTGCCCTGGAGGCCTGCTGAGGTTGGGACCTCCTTGAAAGGAACGGAATGGCCTCATGGTTTGCCAGTCCCATTAAAACCCGTCCCCCTCCCCCCCCGTCCCCTCTTTTACCCAGGGCTTCGAGCTCCTGCGCCACCTCCTTCCACACAGGCTCGATGTGGATGCAGCTGAAGCACCAGTCGGAGGTGATCTTGATGAGGTAGGGCTTCTTGAAGCTGTCGGGCACGACCTCGTTGACGTAGTGGGAGAAGTGCAGCAGGTACTTCTCGTCGGAGGAGTCGTGGCGTTCCGGGTTGAACCCGAAGTGGAAGAAAGACTCGTCAAAATAGAAGCTTTCGTGGAAGGGGTGGAAGGGGCGGTGGTGCTGGTGCTGCTGCTGCTGAGGGTAGCCGGGGTTTTCACTCACATCGCCGTAGCGGTCGAAATGTAATCTCTTCTCCTCGTTGGACAGGATCTGCCAGGCATAAGCGGGAACCGTGAACAGCCTGGCGTACCCCAAAGGTGAGGGGCCGTTTTCTGCCCAAGAGCTAAATTCAATCTCAGAAAAGCTCTCAGAGGTGCTTTTCTGAAAACATCTGTACAGTTTTGCTGTCCTCCACACAGGGACAAGCATGCCTGTAAGAGAGGCACCTGGGAAGCCCGACACTCAAGCCTCGGATCTGAGTCTAGAGTCACTTGCCCTGCTCCCCCCAATCCGTCCTTCTTCCGGGAAGGCCTGGGACTCAGGACTCAGACCCAAAGGCTCAGACCGCATAAGCGCTGCCCGGCGGGTCCGCCGACAGAGACGCAGAGCCAGCAGGCTGAGTTCCCTTTCTGTAGCTGCGCAGGAACCAAAGTCAAAGCGGATCGGGCAGAGGGCGGTCCCGTTTTCCCCTGACGGCCTCCAGCGTTGGAGCGATCACCGCTTCCCCCTGAGGTCAAGGGTCCCGTTGTTATACTGCTCTAACAGTTCACACATTTTTCCTGATATTCAGCCTAAATCTGGTTTCTTGCAACTTGAGCCCTTCATTACGTGTCCTGCACTCTCTGGGAGGATCCAGGAACAGATCCTGCCCCTCTTCTGTAGGACTGCCTTTCTTTAAAGAGTGCTATCCTATTCCCCCTCTGTCTTCTTTTCACAAGGCTAAACATGCCCAGTTCTTTCATCCTTTCCTCCTAGGCAACACTTCCTCTAATTTTCTGGAGCATTGTACCCAAGCTCCATGCCTTGTGCATGTAGTTCAGCTGCAGCCAAAAGCAAATGGGCATTAATACTTTCTCGGCCGCACTGTGTGCGTGCGGCTTAGAGGGAACGTTGCTCCTAGGGCTTGGTTTCCAGCCTTCTGATCCTCCTGGTTGCCCTTCTCCAAACTTGTTCCAATTTGTCAGCATCCTTCTTCAAGTGTGGTGTCCAGAACTGGAGACAGGACTCAAGATGAGACCCGCTGAATAGAGGGGAACGAATACCTCACAGGATGTGGAGACGCTGCTCCCGTTCATGCAGCCTAAAATCACATTGGCCTTTTTTGCAGCCACATCACACTGTTGGCTTATATTCAGCTTGAGATTTACAACAATTCCAAGATCCTTCTCCGTGAGTCAAGTATTCCCCATCTTGTAACTGTGCATTTAGGGCCTTCCCTTCCCTTCCCCTTTGCACTTATCCCTGTTAGTTTTATTCTGTGTTCAAATTTAGAAAGGTCTTTTTGAATGTTGCTGCTTTCGTTGAAGGTATTAGCTGTTTCACCCAATTTTGTATCATCTAAAAATGTTTAAAGTAGGGGGAAAATTTCTATGATATGTCATATTTTTTTCTGCAGCCTATGTTTCAGCTAATGGGTGGGTCTGAACATGGTTATGAGTCATCTGGTGAGAAAGGTCAGATTACTCCTAAACAGGTTTGAACTTGCTGATGGGTTCAAATATAGGGTGCAGAGAAAATGTGAAATGCCATAGAAATCCTCCCCCTATTCATAAGCATTCCCTGCTTTCTACTCATCAAATAACACTCAACTTCACACTTCTGGTTGTACACAAGATGCTCCATTAGACAGATGTTTGGTTTGATCCTGCACACCTCTCCTCAGTCCTTATATACCAGGGCAGCCTGCAGCTCCCTGACCAGTTTTACTGAAAAAGAAGACCCATTTCCTGAAAAACAATTCACATAAAGGCTGCTTCCTGAACAGAACACTGACCTTCTCATGTCCAGAACCTCCAGATTGGAGAAAAAGTGGTTCCCTACCTCGTAAGCCTTGCTGATCTGTATGAACTTATCCTCTGCCCCCGGGTCCTTGTTTTTGTCCGGATGCCTGAAATGCAAATCAAGGAAGACCATCACCAGTAATGCAGCCAGCTTTCGTTTAACCACGTGGGCAAGGGAGACAAAATGGATACTAATTAAAACGCAAGTCAGAATGGCTTAATTTGTTTGATGTGTCAAATGGGTTTATTACAAACGGCTTATCTCCGTGGTGGCGGCAGCTGCACAGGGAGAGAGCTACGATTTGAAGGGGGAACATTTTGTCGGCAGCAGAGTCAACGCGGATGGGAAAGACAGGCGAAGAATCAGAGACAGAGAGGCAGAGCACTAAAGCCCGAGTTCTTCGGAAACACAAGCTCTGTGATGTGTTTTGAGGCGTCTTCAGATGATGGCTATGACGCAAAGAGTTTTTCAGACTATGGCCACCTATTGCCTTGCAGTGACAAAAATCACAACAGCCTTTAAATTGGAGATGGGAGACCATTCTTCCTGTCACAGGGCGTATTCTCCTGGGGGCCATTTGCCAAGAGGCTAATTCAGCAGCAGAATATATGTGTGTGTGTGTGGGGGGGGTGTTTCCCTCTGGGCCAGCTTCCCCCCCCCCCCCAGTTTCTGCTGCTTTCCCAAGCAGGTCCCTGCAAGCAATGTTTATGCCTTTATTGGTCACAAGAATACTCCAGTTCCCCTCTGAGCACTCAAGAGGGCCCACCCCCTTCCCCTCTTTTCCATCAAAGCCACCACAGAGGCAAGGGAGGCTGCAAGGGTGGGACTCGGCCAGAGGCATTTGGATCCAAGGAGGAAAGGGACGCCCAACAGCTGGCCAGGAGTTTAGGCCAGAGTATCTCCTGCTGCCCTCCCCAGCCCCCGAAATGCCAAGGAATGGGCCTGGGGGTTCCGGCATGCCAAGCAGCTGCTGGGCGACTGAGCTCATGCCCTTCCCTTCCCTCTACACTTCTTTGCCAAGGGAAGAGCCCTCCCATGATCCCTTGTGGCTAGCCATGCTGGCTAGGGCTCATGGCATCTGCAGGCCAGCCACTCTGGGCGTTGGCTCACCTGTTGCCTCTCGCCTGCCTTGACACAAACAGCTGAAGCTGAGCCTCCAAAATGGGCGGGAGACCCTTCTGGCCCACCAAGACTGGCTAAAGGCCATTGTTTCGCAGCCTAGGAGGACTCTGCTAGGCCCCTCCTCACCCACAGTCTTTAACCTGGGAGATAATTAGCCCCCGGATGTGGCCCCTTGCACAGGCAAAGGGGGTGTCCTGCCACCCCATTTCTTCAGGGTCCCCTCTGCCCTCCAGTGCTCACCCTCCTCCCCTTCTGGATCCCTTCACCTTTTTGTCTCCTGGGCTTTTTTATACCCATTTCTCTCCTATGACCGCATTCTTCCTCCCTGTTTGCTCAAAGCATCCATGAAACAGCCAAGCAGAGCTCAG